AGTCGGTGTCTCGGATATTGGAAATTGTTTTTAAATCTAGTGTTATATATGTGGTCAAAGTTTTCGCTAATGTAGTCATCAAAATTTGAATGCACCGCTAACAATGTTTTGTAAATAATCAAATTTGGAATAGTCATAATATTCAATTCTTTAAACACTGTTTTGCACGAAGATTTCCATGGTAAAAAAGTCATAATTCTTATAAACTTTTTTTGAATTTTAAAAACTTTTTCAATTTCAGAGGCGAACCCCCAAAATTCAATTCCATACTGTACTATTGAATAAAAGTAAGCATAATAGAGCATGACAGAAGTTTTCAGGTCTATAGAATTTCTTAAGCATAACATTTGAAAACAGGCTGAATTTAATTTTCCAAATTACCGACTGAATGCACTTACTCCAGGTCAAGTGTTTATCAATATATAGCCCTAAAAATTTTACATTATCATCAGTTGGTTGAGATTGATCAGTGAGTGCCATTGATTGAGGTGTACAAAATCTTACAAATTTGGTTTTCTCTTCATTCATTTTCAATCCATTGATCTCAAACCACTTCCCCAATTCGGTTAGGCTTTCTTCAATTTTATGTTTTAATCCCTCATTGTTTTTTGTTTTAACTACTGCAGTAGTATCATCTGCATACAGAATTAGATTTTTTGAAACATTTTTTGGAAGATCATTGATATATATAAGAAATAGAAGAGGCCCCAAAATCGAACCTTGAGGCACACCTATTTTAATTTTTTGCCATTCTGACTTTACTTTTAAATTATCTTTACAAATGACTGTTCTCTGATAGCGATTATTTAAGTAAGATTTCAACCATGACACTGAATTTCCAGAAAAGGGATACGACTCTAGTTTTTTAATGAGGATATCATGATTGACACAGTCAAACGCCTTGGATAAGTCACAAAACACCCCCATTGTGCTATGCGACTCATCCAAGGCCCATGACACCTCCTCAACAAAGTCTGAGAGCGCTCTCATGGTGCTTCGACCCTTTCTAAACCCAAACTGTTTGTTAGACAAAATATTGTGGGTTTCCATAAAAGAGGATATTTGGTAAGAAGCACATTTTTCAAAAACTTTAGAGAATGTCGGTAAAAGTGAGACTGGACGACAATTGTCTGGATTATGTCTCTCTCCATTTTTGAAAAGAGGTTTTAGTTCAGCATATTTTAAGTGTTCAGGAAAACTACTATTGAGGAATGATTGATTTATAATTATAGAGAGTGGTTCTGCAATGAATTTAGAAGCATTTTTGACCAAATTTAGTGGTATTTCGTCCCACCCTGATGATTTCTTATTTTTGAAAGATTTAATAATTTTAATAAAATCCTTCACGTCAATAAATTGAAAGTCAAATTTAGGGGTCTGTCTTTCATCCATTGCCTTTATTGTTAGTTGTACCGCCTCACTTTTACTCTCTACACTCACTCGTGCTGACCCCCCAGGCAAGATGTTCCTCTAGTTGCTTCCAGATATATCTAATTATATATCTGGCTCATTTCATTCAACTATTTACTCCCATACAGCAATTAAATCTAAATTAACAAAAGTTAGGTCCTAGTATTTAATGTAAAATTATAATACATTGTATATTTGTATTACATCATATTTAAAGTGAAATAAAAAATAATTATTTATCACTTTAATTTAATTTAATTTAATTCACCCTGGCTCGCCAACCTTGACAGTTGGTGTCAGGTGAAACATGGCTTTTTTTTGGTAGGAGGGCTTGTTAAGGGGCGAGATTAGGAGTAATAATTTATTTTGTTAACCCTAAGCCAAATCGTTTTTTTTTTTATTATTGTTCAAATGTTATAAGAAATTACTTTGCCCAAAGATAAGTTGTTTTTTTTATAATTTCAAATTGGTTGCTAATAGTAGTAAAGTTGTTTTGTTAGTTACATTTCACTACCGATTGGGGCATACGGATATTAGGTGTGAGAAATTATGTGTGGTGGATCATTTTGATCTTATAGATGAGCGAGTAGTAGAAGGGTCTCACACGTTCACTAGGTGTTGGAAGTATTGTAGGAGTTGGTTTTACGACGACGTAGTTCGGTACTCCCTTCGCACAGTGGAAGTTAGGAACACATTGGGATTTGTGGCGATTCTTTTAGTTGCGGATGTTTGAGTCAAATTGTACTTGTGCCTAAGTGTGTTTAAGGCCCCATCATTGAATAGTTACAGGGAAATTAAGGGTCAAGACTGTTGAGTGTAAAATTTTCTTTTGACGTTTAATGTAATTTAACTTAGAAGGCAAGATGATGTACTAAATGGGTGGTAATCGGGAGGTTCAACTTTGGTATGGTAATCATTTGAAAGAACTATCGAAGGGCGTAAGGCCATGTTGATCCAATTATTGCAACGCGAGTGTAAAGTAATTCTAAGTAAAATTAACTAAAAGTGCTGGTGATCTGTCGGTCGATGTTGGCGGAAAACAGTGAAGCGAAGCTGTCCTGTCTGTTAGATGTAGGCATTGATGATATAGAGTTCGCTATTTTGCTATTTTTCGTACATGTATGCATTATTATTTTAGTGGCTGCCCATAGTTAATTAATTGATTATGCTGGGAAATAAGGGAGGTAAACTTAAAGAGCCGTGTATGGAGCAGGCGTCGTCATCTAGACCGTTTGGTACTGCTCCAGGAGAGTTAAGTTCGACACAATCAAGAAATAAATTCGAAACGTCTTTTTTTACCCGAGTTGGGTCAAGATCTGCCGTTATAACAGCCTTTTACGATCACGAACAGCCTCAGTCGAGTACGGGTTCCAGTAGTAGTCAAGTTAGTATAAGAAGTTTCCTGGAACCGACACAACGCGCCCCACCTATTCCGAAAATTAATACACCGATAAAATCGGAAGAAGAACCAATATAAGTACCAATGTACGAAGTTCCAAAGCCTAATGTCCGCTTCTAAGAAACCGGAATATTATATATCAGTGATCGATCCCGATTTGTTAATTGAAGGTTGTCAATATTTGTTGCGTGCATTAGTCACTCGAATTATTGAGGGTAGGATAAATAACCGTACCAACTATACATCCTAAGCAGGTATCAAGAGAGTTAAAGTGACGAAAATTGTAATAGAATATTTGAACTAAATGTAATTAAGAAATAATTAAATAATTTTGTATTTGATTTTATTTATTTTTTTTGTCTTAAAAGTGTATTGTAATGATGAAACTAAATTAATTTTATTGTGGAATTTTGTTGTAATATTTTTATATTTTGGTTTGATATTTTGATATTAGGCTAACTAAATGTGGTCTTTATTTAAGGGAATTGTCATTGGGTTCATGATAGGATTGAGCGCCACGATTATTTGTTTCCTAGTGTTAACTCTTATCTCAGAACACAATCCAGCCGCGTGTGTACGTCACTTTGTATTAAATAGTACGCGACGCCTTATCAATTAGTGAATGATAAAATCTACAGGAGATAGAAGGTCCCCTCAGAAAATTTATAAATCTACATTGACATATTTAAACATGCCCGGAGACGGGGATCAATTGGAGCAGGCGGTTGCGCGACTTGAAAAATTGCACACCATGGATTTAGGTGTGGCTTCTATGATAGAAACATTCCGTGGGGACGGGACAGGACCATCCATTAAGGATTTCCTGGGTCAATTAGACCAAGCTGCTATATTGGGGGGATGGAAACAACAATTTAAGGTTGCAATTATAAGATTAAAAACACGGGGACCTGCTGAAACATTTTTAGCTTCAAAATTTAGGAGGTGATGGCTTGCCTGAAGCTAAGGAGGATGAGGTGCGTAAAGCCTTGTTAGAACGATTCACTAGTAAGAGAACTGATCATTTTAATAACATGCAATTGCAGAGTGCGTCCCAAAAAAGTGGCGAGGGGGTAGAACAATTTGCCGAAAGGGTTAGACACTTAGGGGCTCTCACGGCACGGAAAGTAGACGACGATGGTGAACAACGGGTTATTAATTCAGAAGCTGAGCGACGTATGTTGGCGGCATTTTTAAATGGCCTGAAGGGTAAAGTAGGCGAGATCGCACGTTTCCGGTTTCCAAAGACTTGGCAAGAGGTCCTCGAAATTGCTATTATGGCGGAAGCAGAGGAACAAAGTAGGCCGTCGGAGGATGATAACGTTGTGTTTTCGGTAGAGTGTTACCGTTGCCATGGGGAAGGGCATATCAGCCGAGACTGCCCTAAGCAGCGAAGAGGTCCGGAATTACAGGGGTCCTCTCGCCAGAGTCAAAATTTTACGCGGAGCCGAGGCAGAGGTAGGAGTCCCTCGAGGGAGATTAGTAATTCAGCTAGTTATTCTCCAAGGCGTGGTAATGGTGCACGGTTTAGGAGTGGGGCACGGTATTGGTGCGAGAGAGAGGTACCGAGCTGTCCACTGCCACCCCACCCCCAACCTTCCCAAACATAGCTAATCAAATTAAATTTTACAGCTGATCAAAATGTAAAAAATTACATTCTTCATAGCTTGAGAAAATAGGTCCTGCAAAAAATATTGTATAGCCTAAATCGCATCAATATTTGAGCATCAAGAAATGTTATTATTATATCATTGTGTAACCAGTTCCATTTGGTAACACAGGATTCCAACTCCCACGACACCGGGGTGGCGTCGTGTCGGTGTCAGTGCAGTGTGGAAACGGCCATTGGCGGAGGGGGAAAATCCCCTCCCTCGCCGTTACCTCCCCTACATGCGCTAAAAATTCTGTGCAGGTCGTTTTCTAACCGGCCGACCTATAGAGATTAAAATATGGTTGCGTAAAGGCTAGCTACTTACTCGAGATAATGTAAACAAGCCAATGGCCTTGACAAGTGGTTTCTGTTACGGGTAAAAATTACATACCACTGGGACTTTCCAAAAAAAGGTTATCTTCTTTTTATTGGTACTAAACATTGCACCAGCAATTCAGTATGTAAAATTACTTAATTCAGTTTTTAGGTTGTATATTCAAATTAATTGATTCAATTTTTTATTTTTTATTTTGTGACAAGAAAGATCAATCAATCATCAATTTATTTATTGAACAATAATAATGAATACATGCATATTATACAATAGGTGCAAAAACCATACAAGGCTTGTCTGCACCAACATACACACAACACTTCGAATGAAGTGATTATTTGACACCTTGAGGCCTGAAGATGGTTCACTAATGAACCGAAACTAGTTGCCAAAATCAGCAACAAAGGATTACTATATGCAGGTATTGTAAACCATTTTAAGGAAACATAACCTTTATTGCCTGTGCCAATTTAGCCCCAAGTAGACTACCGCATTAAAGTAAGATCTACCCATTTATTTATTATATTTTAGAAGGATTTTTTATTTTGTTGGGAAACTCTGATTTTGTTATATTCTGACTATAAATATATCGATCCCATCTATATCAATTTGGGAGCAGTTAATTATTTCCCATGACCACATGACCCTCAAACTAAAAGGCCTGACAAACACAAGTCTTACTACAAAAGCTATAATATTATAAATTATTTTATTCTGTAGACCAATTGGTTCATACATAGGGTGTAAAACCTGAAGTTAAAAGATCCATGTCTTATGTTTTTGTTTTTGACAGTCTAATGTTATTCTGGAAAACCTAACTGATTCATCTATTCATCGGCCAATCTATCCTTAGTACTATTTATCAGTCAGTTCTGTGTAGTAGCAGTACACGTGTTCATGAGGAGGGTTGGGGATGAGTTGAACGTTTCTCCCAGACAGTCGCGGATAGTCACTGTAGGCTAGACGGTAATGCTCCTTCCAACCGAGGCTCCTCGCGAGTCTAGCAGTGTACTCGTTGACGCAGCACATAGTGAGAGCTTTAAACCCGGCAGCCTTTGCTTCTTGTATACTTCTCTCAACTAGTCTACGAGCCACGCCTCGCCCTCTCCATCCCTCCGTTACCATCAACACTCGCAGCTCTATCCACCTCTGCGGCAATTTATCCAACTGCTCCTGGATGGTAATAAACTCTAAGAACTCTTCCAGCTGAAACATCACATTTAATTAGACAACTTTTGTCACAGCGATAAAACCAGGGTGAGCGGGAAACAAAAAATTGTACATGAATTTTGATTACCGAGAAAAGGTTTGTCATTTATCATTACCAATTGAGAGTAACGCCACCTAGTTGTATTTTTCAACCAAAATATAAGTGTAGGATGAGTGTAGAATTGTGTGAGATGATCTGTGTAACTTTGTTACTAAGATCAGCTGTTTCACCTGTCAGGATCATGTTTAAAGCCCAATGATCAGGGACAGCTGGGTCTAGATTTAAACCATAAAAAAGTCTTTTTTAGGATCAAACCGGCAACCTTTTGATTGTCGGATGAGCACTTTTAAACCACTCAGCTGCCAGTCTGTAAATTGTACATAACGTTTTTATTGGAACAGGACATTTGGAATAGTTGCCAGGCTATTGGGTTAAGGACCAGGTACGGTTGGGCGTCAATTTTTAAACAGGACGTGATTAAGGATTAAGATCACAAATATGATAAGGAGATTTACAGGAGACAATCACAATGTTTTGAATCTGAAAAATCTGAGATTGTCCTTGAATTTTATTTTCATAACCTGCACGACAATCGAAACCCCCCTCAATCAAATTCCACTCTGAGGTTCCTGAAATTGTGTCATACGTGTTTGGAAACTTGACAGAATTATATTTTTAGAATTGAACACAAAATGGTTTTATAATGAAATTTTCATGAGTGTGAAAATATTATTTAACATAAATCAGTTGTATTACACGTATGAACATGGCAAAATAAATTAATCACTTGCTGGTTTGGAATGGTAAAATAAATTACAAAGACAAATAAAATACCTCAAGCTGCTCTGGAGACGGGTCAGGTTCTCGGATGATGGTCGCATGAACTTTGTTGGCTGCAAACCCGATGATGTTTTTTTGTCCATCTTCTGCCACTATGATGAAGTCCTCAGGGCTATAGTTTGGCTTTACCGACCTCCGAGTGGTGATTCCAAACATACGGTTAAGTGGGACAGAGTCTTGGAACTCTATGTACAAAGGCTGTATTCTATCGTAGTCTTCAGGGGCCTCCAGTTTTGTGACGGTGACTTCCATTGCATCTGTCAATTAGGAATTGTTTTACTGATTGTTATTTGTAAAGCTTTAAGCCCTAAAGGGCATCAAAAGTAACAGTACAGTACAGTACACTCCTGATTAACCGAGGTTGTTGGGGCCGAGACTACTAAGATTACCGAGAATCATGGACAGGGGCGGCTCCAGGACAGATTCTGGGGGGGGGGGGCATCCAGTGACTATTTCCGGGGGGCCTGGGGGGTATGGGATACCCCTCTGTGAAAGGGTGGTCCGGGAAAATTTTGAAAAATATGTGTTCAATATTGCTGTTTTAGGCTATCTAAAAGTGCTGGACGTAACTTCATAAAATTCAGTTTACTCCAACGTTCTTTAGTTGTAAGTACAGAAAATGATTTTTTTATCACAGGAAATGAAGTACACACCTTTAAAATAGTATATGTTTAATGTTTTCTTTTAATCCACAAATAAAAAAAAATACTATGTTTATAATACTAGAAATCAACAAAAACATTTTAAAATGTGTTTTCTTCTAAATAATATATTCCTAAGACGCAAGAGGCCATGAAACGTAAATTCGTGTTGACATTTAGCTGAAAAAGCAGTGTTGCTGAGAAACCCCTTATTAATTGTTGTACTATGTTTATGGGTAGATAGATATCTCTAAAAGCAAATTTGATTCATAATATATGAAATGTGGTGTACAACAAACTGTTGTCATTCAAAAGAGACTACTGTAGGTACAGTTACTCACTACAAAAAAAAAACCCTAGCCTATATACATTTAAGTTTTAAAGACACAAGAAAGTTACATTATAATAATTAACTGGTAAACAACAAACTGTAGTAATTTAAACGAAACTTCAAACCAGTTAACCACTAAAACAAAATAACCCTAATCTAAGTAAATTTTAGTTTTAAAGACAGAAGAAAATTAAATTAACAAGTTATAAAATGGTTTACAATAAACTGTGGTTATTGAAAAGAAATTACAGCTAACCACTAAAACAAACCAAGCCTAACCTAAGTACTTTTGAGTATGAGTTTTAAAGATACAAGAAAATTAGATTCATAATTAAACTGGTTAACAACAAACTTAAGTTATTATACGTGACACGACAACACAGTGAACTTCATTCTCACATCACACGTGATAATACAAGTCGGCCTAGGTGCTTCTTCAAAATCAGTATCGAAACATCGAAATCGACCAAGGAAACGACTAAATGCAATCACATGTTTTGCCTGTTTGTAACAGAGGGCGACAAAGACTCCACAACAAAATACAAACATGTAACCTTATAAAACAAAATCCAACCTTCGAATGACTGAGTTTGCAAATCTGTCTATTACTTTGTTAACATCCACTTTAATATCCCTGTGGGTGTAAAGCAAATATAAACCGCTTAATCTTTCTTCTCCCATCGTTGATCTTAACCATGTCTTTAACCGTCGCAGTGTAGAAAATGATCTTTCTGCAGACGCAACATTTACCGGCAAAGTACAAAGTATTTTTAGCAAATCATAAATGGTAGGGAAAATGTTGTGTCGCAAAAAGCTTCTAGAGCGTCTAGTGCAGTTTTCGGTAGATGAACTCCTGATGATTTTTCTCTAAGCCATTTCGCATACCATAAATCAAACTCCCCTTTGATAAGATTACTTTTTTGTTTTTGCCCAAGTATTGGTGATAGTTTTTCAGTTAGTATGAGTAAATTTGCCTTATCTTGTGTTGGTGGAGAGTTAGTTTGTGGCTCAAGTTCAAGGTATTTTACAATCTTTGACGGATTGAGTATAGTAAGACCAAAACACACCACACTAATGCCAACCTGACAATGTTAAATTTCTTTTTAAATATGAAATTCAATAAGAAAGAGATTAAAGATGTAATAAAAGTGAGTTCTTCGCAAACTGATTGTGGGTTGAATTACTGCAATGGGCTACTTATGCAAAACTTATGGCTAAATATGCGGTGGTGCATATTTATTCATACATGTTTTTTTTTTTATCTTTCCTTGCCCCCCCCCCCCCTGGAGCTGCCCCTGATCATGGATAACACGGAGGTCGCTTAGACTTTGAGGTTAGGGGTAATATTTCATGTAGGAAGTCAAATAATTGTGAAATAATAAGTGTTTTAAAAGTACAGTGTTGAGAAAATATGACCAAATGAATATTATTTTCAGATATTTAAAAGAATATAGGTTCTTTTATTAAAGAAAACAGTAACAAAAACATACTCAATGTTTCATTTATTGTCTTGAAAACCTTTAAATACATTGTTAAAATAATGAGAACCCTCAAAGTGTAGCTAAGTCCTAAAGGCTGATTTCTACAAAGAGTGTGGTATAAGAGGTTCAATTTGATACCAAATATGTATCGGTAATCACAGTCAAGAGTTGAGAAGATAAAAACAGTTAATTCTAATAATAAAAATATTTTTCTTATTTTACTTATGGTAAAAAGCTATTCAAAATGACGTGACATTTAAATCTAAAATAAATCATAATACCACTTACGATAGATTGCAAATAGTTAATACAAGCAGCTTATTTTATTGAAAACATCTTTAACTAAAGCAAAACAATTTCAAATAATAAGCAATGCAAATCAAGACTAATATTAAAAACCAGAAAATGATGATGCAGTGACAGTGGTCTAAAGTAGGCCATTGATTGATAACACAACTTGAAGGCAATAAATAGTTTTGATAGCTAAATTTAAAGTAGCTAAACTATACAATAACACATCCAATATATTAAAAGAAATAGATTTACACTTACATAGCAGATCTAGTACTCTCCTGAATGATGATTTTTATCTTAATTTAAAACAAAGTCTAGTAAGATACAGTGTTTACTGAAGATAAGAACTCCATTTATTTACACTAGAGATTAACACATGGTAGCGTGAAGGCTACCTACTTAGTCCAGAAAATGTAAACAAGCCAATGGCCTTGACAAGTGGTTACTGTTGTGGCTAAAAATTACATACCACTGGGACTGGGAATAAGGCTATCTTCTTTTTATTGGTACTAAACACTACTTCAGTATATTAAATTACTATATTCAGTTTTTAGGATGTATTTTCAAACTAATTCATTTTCACATTTTTTTTAATTTTGTGGCAAGAGAGATTTATTTTTCTATTAAATTCAACAAAATATTGAATAAGTTTAAATTTACTGTACTGCAAAAATAAACCCCCCGCCGCAGCAAACCTGCAGACTAAGCGAATTTCAACTTGTCTGATTACATTTTACATACTAAAATATTTCCATAAATAAGACATTTTATTCCCTATTTAAATAACATTAGATTTAACAAGTGCTTAGGTTTGCTGCTACGGGGAAGGTAAAAAGTGTTTTTTGACCATACATCAATAGTATAGGATGAAATAAATAAATTTGCCAAATTTTATCAATATATACCCATAAACAAGTAAACTACAACAATTTTCATTTTCTCCATAAGAATAACATGGGAATTTTTAATTACACTATTTTTGAATTTTCTCCGTGACCGTTAGGCATACAACAGCACTTCAATATACCAAATTATTTCTTTTTTTTAAGCTCTACAAAACGTTTTAGAAAGAAATCGTAAAATTTTTGTTTTTGGGTTCAAAAATGGGAAAAACCCATTTTTACCCCATAAAACCCCCCATAATCCCCCGTTCCCATGGTCCGATTATGCTGGATCGCAAACTCGTTCGAATAAACGTAGGTTTACACGTTTGTACCAAATTTCATCAAAATTGGATCATTTTTGCTAGAGTTATCGAGCTAACGGACACATATATATATATATGAATTTGAATGGATGGTGTTTTTGGCCTCTAGGGACCTCAAAATGAAAAATTAGATCGGTCTCGGGTCCAGGTCTTACCATGAGTACTACGGTAATAGCTTATTCCCTATATGGGAAATTCGCTAAAAACTACAGTTGTAAAAAATATCCACAGCTTATCTAACAGATATAATACATTCAGAGTTTTTGAATAACTTTTTTTTTACCCTTCGTTCTTATTCTTCCTCTCATATATTTTGAAACAGAGTGTGGCATTTTCCATAGTGAAATTCATCAGAGAATAGAGTAAGCACTCTCACAAGAACAAAGGCTACTAAAAATAGGCGACTAAATCATTTCAGTTTCTTGCTTGGGATAAATAAAGTGAACAAATATCCAGAATTTATAATGAAATGTGTTTATTGTCTTGTGAATTTATACAAATTATTGACAATGTCCGAAAAACTGCTAAAACTAGCATAGTCAATATACTAACTAAACTATAAACTAGCATGAATACAATATACAATATTTACAAGAATACTACACACAAGGAGACATGTTACAATACATACTTTAATATTACAACCAAATAATCTTATTGTTCAGAAAAATGCAAGGCATTTCGAACAATGAAAATTATTAAACCCCATAACCAACTAAATCCAACAGTAATTTGATAAATTTGCTAGCTCCTACTTAAAAATTAATAAAAGGCATTTCAAAAAAATCTTTTAGAGAATAAAAAGGGTTGTTCAAAAGCCATTTGTAGAATTTAGATTTAAAAGTTTTATTAGGATATTTTGTTATTAAATGTATTAGCTTGTTGTATATTTTTAGTGAGATTACAATATGACTTTTAAGAGTTTTAGACAGTCTAAAAAAATCTATGGTAGCAACGTTTTTATTCCTTGTATTATGAACATGAGAATTTTGTTTGATAAGGTTGGGATTTTTTAGAATATATGATACAGAGTCAAATATATAAATGTTAATTACTGTTGGAATTTGTAGCTGAATGAACAGGGGTTTACAGTGTTCCTGTTGGGGTTCACAAGATATGATTCTAACTAACTTCTTTTGTAAGACTAAAATTTCCTCTATCCTACTGCAATTTCCGTAAAAGATAATATTGTATCTGAAAATGGATTGGAAATAAGCAAAGTAGGCTGTTTTAATATAATTTTGATCTATACAATGTATTAGTTTAGTTATAAGACAAATTACCCTTGAAAGCTTAGAACTTATGTAATCTATATGATCTCCCCAAGAAAGGGTCTTATCCAGATAAATACCAAGAAATTTAACATTGTCTACATAACCATCCAACATATTTGATTCACAGGGTCTAAGGCTAAAAACAATTTTTTGAGTTTTATCTTTGTTTAAGAGGAAGCCGTTTGATTCAAACCAAATAGAAGCTTCATTGATTGAGTTTTGAGCTAACTCTTGAAGTTGTTTAAGATCGGGATTAATATTTAAAAATGTTGTATCATCTGCATACAAATAAGTTTTACTGGTTATACATTCTGGGAGGTCATTAATACAAATTAAAAATAATAGAGGACCTAGAACAGATCCCTGAGGCACGCCATATTTCATTTTTAATTCTTGGGACCATTCTCCATCAATATTGACTTTTTGTATTCTATTGTTTAAGTATGATTTGAAAAAAGAAAGTGGAGATCCGTTGATACCATAAAAACTTAATTTCATTATTAGGTCATCATGGTCAACACAATCGAAAGCCCTACTCAGGTCGCAAAAAGTGGCCTGAGCAAGTGACTTCCTCTCAAAGACCATTAGTACCTCATTAATCAATTTATCTATTGCGTCTGATGTACACTTGCCCTTTCTAAATCCAAATTGTGATACACTTAAAAAGTTGTTTCTTTCAAAAAAAGAATTCAGCTGGTCAAAAACCATGATTTCAAACAATTTTGATACTACAGGAATGATTGATATTGGGCGATAACTTTCTGGAATATCTTTTTTACCTTTTTTAAAAATGGGACAGACTCTGGTGACCTTTAATTCATCTGGAAAGACACCCTCAAGGAGACAGAGATTAAAGCAGTAAGATAGAGGTTCAGCTAGATTACCAATAATCTGTTTAAGCAAACTATTAGACATGAGATAAACATCATTACTGCTAGAGTTTTTTAGTTTTTTTGTGGCTTTTATTAGATCATTAGGTGTGATAAAATTCCAGAAAAAAGGTACAGGAGTAATGGAAGAATTATTAACTAAATCTTTTGAACTGTAAGCATTACTAACAATTTTCATTTTTATGTTTTCAATTGATTCAATGAAAAATGTATTGAAAACATCAGGAGATATTTTGGGTTTTTTTGTATTGAATAAAGAATTGCTACTGGTTTTAATGATTTGCCAGGCAGTTTTACATTTGTTATTACTTTTTTCTATGAGATTTGTGTTATATTCTATTTTGGCCTTCTTAATTGAATGCTTATATTGATTTTTTAACCCATTATATGCTTGTTTTGTTTCATTTGAAACGCTTTGACTATTTTTTACTATTTTATCTAGAAAAATTAATCTTTCTTTCATAACTCTTAACTCACTATTATACCAAGCATTACAATTATTTTTTTTCGAATTTTCAGTTTGAATTTTTATTACTTTAGAAAAATAAGAAATGTTATCTTTTAAAACTTTGAAAAAAACTCTGAACGTATCTTCTGCTGTTGAATTTATACAATTAAACACTTGTATCCAATCATAAGTGCCAAGCTTTTCTACTAATAAACCAACCGAATCTTTTGGCAAAATTACTTTAGAAAAAGAGTTTAAAGCAGCATATTGATTAACACAATCCTTATCCAAATTCAAAGTCAAATTAATTAGAAGACCATTATGGTCAGAGAAGGGGAAATCAAATACTTTACAGCTTATATTTGCGTTTTTACTACAATTTGTTAATACATTGTCCAGGCAATTGTTGCCTCGAGTGGGGGAGTGATTTAAGAAGTGAAAATTGTGCTGGCGTAGTATATTAAGAAATTGTTTAGAGAGGTAGTTGTTCTGAGTCAAGTCAAAACTTTTATTAAAGTCTCCTCCGATGATTGAAACATAATTAGTCCAACGAGAGAGATGAGTTAATAATTTATCAAAATTTTCAAGATATCTGGAATACATATACATTTATCTCTTCAAATTGTGTAAAAAGCCACAGGCCTAGAAACACTCAGAATATAAATTATAAATTTATTAGATATGCCTGCTTAGGTTTTAATACCCAATAAAAATCCAAAATGAAATGTTATTCAATAAGATTGAAAATGCATCCTTAAAGGTTTTTCCCTGAAGCTAAACAAAATTCATTCCACAGACTCTTTTGGAGAGAGAAATTTAACCTGGAATTTGTGTCATATATTTTTGATTGATATATATTTGTCTTAATATCGGCTTTGAATTTACAGTGGCACAAGATTATCTTTATCAAAATTTATTTTGACCAGAATTACTTGCTCTAGCCAGTAGACCAACAGCGCCTGGACACCTTTCCCCAGTAACCTGAAGTTATCAGATCCATGTCTTTTTTGTTTGACAGTCTAATGTTATTCTGTAAATCCTAACTGATTCATATATTCATAGGCTAACATATCCTTAGTAAAACCAGTCAGTTCTGTGTAGTAGCAGGTCACGTGTTCATGAGGAGGGTTGGGGATGAGTTGAACGTTTCTCCCAGACAGTCGCGGATAGTCGCTGTAGGCTAGACGGTAATGCTCCTTCCATCCAAGGCTCCTCGCGAGTCTAGCAGTGTACTCGTTGACGCAGTCGGGGATAGTCGCTGTAGGCTAGATGATAATGCTCCTTCCAACCGAGGCTCCTCGCGAGTCTAGCAGTGTACTCGTTGACGCAGCGCATAGTGAGAGCTCTGAACCCTGCAGACTTTGCTTCTTGCATACTTCTCTCAACTAGTCTACGAGCCACTCCTTGCCCCCTCCATTCCTTTGTCACCAACAATTCCTGTAGCTCTATCCACCTCTGCGGCAATTTATCCAACAGCTCCTGCTCCTGGATGGTGATAAACTGTAAGAACTCTGCCAGCTGAAACATCACATTTGAATAGTTTAAATGGAGAAACTACTTTTTCTCACAGTGATAAAAACAGCTGAAAGCTGGAAACCGAAAATTGCACATGAATTTTGATTACCAATAAAAAAAGTCTGTGGATCAATTAGTTTTGCATGGGACCAGAACATATGAAATAACTAATAGATGATGGTTGGGGGTCCAAAGATTAAGATCACTGACACAATCAAATGTCGCTGTGAATCACAAGTCGTCTGTTTTGAATCCGGAAAACCTGAGTGATTTCTGAATGAGATTAGCTGAGTTTCCTGAAATTATGACAGTTTGGAAATTTGACAGGTTTAGTGGAAAAATTAAACTAAAGTGTACACAAACTGCTTTAAAATGAACAACTCACGAATGAGAAAACATAACTTTACATTTGTACTATACGTATGAAAAGATGGTAAAAGAAATGGATCACTTCCTAGATTGAAAGAAAGAAAGTATTGTTGAATCTTAAAAGACAATAAAATACCTCCAGTTGCTCTGGAGAGTAGTCAGGTTCTCTGGTGATGGTCGCAGCCGCGTGAACTCTGCTGGCTGCAAACCCGATGATGTTTCCATGTCCATCTTCTGCTACAATGATAAAGCCGTCAGGGCTGTAGGTTGGCTCTACTGACCTCCAAGTGGTGATTCCAAACATGGGACCAACAGGGACTGAGTCATAGTACTCTTTGGACAAAGACTTTAGTCTGTCATAGTCTTCAGGGGTCTTCAGTTTGGTGACCTTCACTTCCATTGCATCTGTCAATTTAGAATTGTTTTAATGATTGTTACTTGTAACCCTTAAAGCCCCAATGGACATCAAAAGTGACGGTACTATACACTTCTAATTAACCTAGATTGTTGGGGTCCGTGGCTACATAGGTTACCGAGAATCTTGGATAACACGGAGGTTGCTTAGACTTTGAGGTTGGGGGCTACAATATTACATTAAGGAAGTCAAATACTTAAAAAAGTGTTTTCATAGTACAGAGCAAAAAAAATGAAGAAATGAAAATTTTACGGTAATAGTAAAATAAATGAGGTTGTGCCATTTTTGACTCATGTGATCTTTTGAGCTCAAATTTGCGGCATTGTATTCTCCTAATAAATACCTTAATTTGATGTGCATATCAACCTGTTACATTTAAGATTTCCTTCTGACTCCTTGCACACCGTACCAAGATTAAAGTTTATCACTAAAGAGGTTCAAAAGTTACAGATACATTTGTGAAAATCGCATACAGAGACAGGCATAAAACTAGACATTTTAGACCTATGTTTACATGGTGTTTTTTCTTTGTTTTGAACCAAGGAACAAATGTGCATATGTATATGAATATAAATGAATGGTGGTTTTGGCCTCTGGGGACCTCAAAACAAAAAAAATCGACCCCGGGCCCAGATCTTACCATGAGACCTACAGTAATAGCTTATTCCCTATATGAGAAATTCACTAAAAAATCAAGGCATTTGAACAACAATTATTTTTATAAAGAATAGTATTACAAACCAGTAAAGATGAAAACAGTGACAGTGGTCCAAAGTAGGTCATTGATTGATAACTAAATTTGAAGAAACTTAATTAGAAACAGATTTTTACTTACTTGCATAGCAGATCTACTATTCTTCTAAAAGATGAATTTGATCTTAATTTAAAACCTAGTCCAGTAAGATACAGTTTTGACTGGAGAAAAATACTCCATATTTACACTTGAGGCTAACATTCTAAAGACTACATGGCTTGAAGGTTACCTACTTAATCCAGATAATGTAAACAAGCAAATGGCCTTGACATGTGGTTAGGCCTACTAACTGTAGGCGGAGTCACAGTACAGTATGCTAAAAATTACATAGGCCTACTACTGTGACTCTCTAAAATAAAGTTCTTGTCAGATTACATAAAATATTACTTAGTACTAAACACTGCACTAGCAATTCAGTATATTAAATAATTTGTATGTTCAGTTTTCTAAACTATTAGATTGGACACAAGTTTATTTTAATTGTTTTAATTTTAATTTATTTTAACTGCGAGTTTAAAAATACTCTTTCTTCCAAATTGCTCGCCTTGATTTCTTACGTTAATTTACTTGCTGATCACTAGAAAAGCCGCACTTATTCCGCATAATAATATATAGCTTCATCTTCATCCATCTTAAAAATACACAACAAAAGTGAGGCATGAGTGTGGAAAGCTGAAAGGCATGCCTCGAAGCGCATGCAATAGCGAATGCGTTGATGCATGTTGAATGTCGAATGTTTCAAGTTGAAAGGCACATTACATCGTTAAAACTGAAAGCGCACAAGTGTAGACATAGCTAATCACAACTCAGTACAAAGTGCAGTTTTTTTTTATTTTCACTCGCCTGAGATAACCCCTTTTTATGCTTGTGGAAATGATCACCTTGGGGCTCACGCGGCCCTTAAGTTGACTCTGGTGATCTATGTAGCGTTGCAGGTGGCTTAGATCAGCTGTTTACTTAGTAAGGAGCACTTATCAAAGTCCAGCTAATAACGACCAGCTGGCTCCAGTTTTGATCATCAACATTTTTCTCACCATTGACTAGCATAAGTCAAATTCCCTGATACTGAGGCATGGTATCGATAAAGTTTTAACCATGTATATTTTTTTCTAGGGAAAATATGACAGATGTCATCATTCAACATTTGCTCACTGATCAGAAGGTTAGAATCAAATGCAGAGACCTGGTCAAGAAAATTGCAATCTACAAACATCGGTTAGCTGTACGTATCGATCATTCATTTGTGTATACTAAAAACATAGTTTTAAATGTAATTGGCCTACTCAACTGCTTTTAAGGAAAATGTTATCTAACTCCATATTATGTTGGGTGCAAGGTGGTTGGAAAAAGGTCTGGCTGGGCTATTTGCTAGGTTTGTATATGTGATTCAATGCAAAACAATGCACATCCACAAAACTGTAACGGGTTTGGACCACTTTCCCATTAAAGTTTTGGAATTTGCTTAATTTAAAAAAATTCCATTGGAGTGGACTCAAGCAATCAAAAAACAAACAAACAATAGGCCAGCAAAAATCCACGCAGACAGCAATCATCTACAAGTTTTACACAGTGGCGGATCTAGAACAGCCACAAGGGGGGGGCGAACCAGGGGGTCTGGGGGGTTCGGCGGTACCCTCCGAAAAATTAGTGTAAACTAAGTCTCCAAAATGGCAGTTTTATACCATTTCTTTGTCCAAAGTTAGTGTAACAAATTATTTTACCCAATTTGTATGCACTACTGTATTATATGCAGTAAAAAATATATGTATATGTATGCCCGAGGGGGGGGCGGTCGCCCCCTTCGCCCCCCCTCTGGATCCGCCACTGGTTTTACACAGTTACCTTAAAAAAGGACAGTTTTTAGACTGCCTAGAAGGGTATGAGACCTACCAATAAAAAAGAATGAGTCACAACATATTTTAATTAACAGACTTCCTTCTAACATTATCTGTGATACAGTTATTCAAATAGCACAAAAATACCGAGGCATTCCATAGATAAGGTGATAGGAGTAAGGACACCTCAGTCATGACCACCATCATGTACTGGGTCACCACAGTGTCCTGCCCTGTATGTTTGTATGTTATGTCTGTCTGTTCTTTTGATCTATGCTTACTGTAACCACTTTTGTTTGTGTGAACTTTTAGCGAATTTCCCTATAGGGAAGTAGCTATTACCGTAGGTGGCACGGTAAGACCTAGACCCGGGACCGATTTACTTTTTCATTTTGATGTCCCCAGAGGCCAAAAACACCATTCGTTCAAATTTTATATATATATATATATATATACGTCCGTGAACGCGATAACTTGAGTAATTTTTGTCCGATTTTGATGAAATTTGGTTTAAAGGTGTAAAGCGGGATAAACTCGAATGAGTTCGCAAACCAGCACAATTGGACCATGGGAACGGGGCTTTACGGGGGGTTTTATGGGGTAAAAATTGGGTTTTCTCACTTTTGACCCTCAAAACACAAAATTTCCCTATTTCTCTTTAGACCTTTTTAAAGAGCTTAAAAAAACAAATAATTTAGTATATAAAAGTATTTTTGTTTGATTATTAGTAACGGAGAAAATTTAAAAAATTGTAAATTTAAAATTCCCATGTTATTCTTATGGAGAATATTGTCAAATGTTGTAGTTCGCTTGTTTATGGATATATTTTGATCAAACTTGGCAAATTTATTTATTTTGTACTAAGCTATCAATATTTTACTCAAAAACACACTTTATTAGTTTCCTTGTAACAGCAAACCTAGGTACTCGTTAAACCTAATGTTATTAAAATATATTTAACTGAAAATCAATTCAGACAAATGGAAATTCGCTTAGTCGGCAGGTTTGCTGCGGCGGGGGTATTTACCTACTCATGGAATTTTTATCTTGAAACTGGTTGCCATAGACTACAGTTGGATCACCAACAAACAGGTAAATTAAACCATTTTATTTAATCCTGGGCCACCAAATTAATTTTTTTTTCACATGTTCAGGTCCAGTTACCAGAAAGAGTGGTGATCTATGAACTCTACTCAGGGGAACCGACTGGAATGCATTACAGAGTCAAGGAGAAGATTAACCACAAGCTGCAGTGTAACTTGCTAGTCGTCTGCTCTGACAACCTGGTCCTGTGCCAGGTAAAACAACCAAAGTGGTCATTAAATATGAATTTTGAATCTCGGATATTATAAACGGAGCAGATATTTTACTATGATTTGAATCGGATTTTAGCAAGAAATACTGTGAAAAGTATCTTCAAATGTATATGTTGGATTGTAGCATTTTTGTGCAATTTAAATTTTGACATTTTTTTAAAAATCTTTGTTGTCCGTGTATGCGTTGCGGCAAATGTCGGAAATTGTATAAAGTAAGGGCTGTATTTATGTACGCCAGCAGTGGTTGAAATTGATCTTACGTTATTCTTCAAAGCTATTTTTTTAGTATTTTATAGAATTGTGTGCATGCAAAATAACACAAATAGCGAATGTGTCTCAAGGACTACCTGTATTTATTTGTCTGCAAATTCAATGGTATCTTACTGTATCTCCTACTAGGAGATTAATCTTACTTAAGACATAAACTAGAACTAAAATTTTTCATATGAATTTTAAATGAAATATACTCCCTGTCATAATAGATTAACGTTATCCACCACTAAATATGAAAAACGAATGAAAAAAATCATTGCATTTTGGATAATGATGTTTGAGGTTGCATAATTTAGGTGAGTAATTAAAATTATAATTTCACTGTCAAAGTTGTTAAACGTATGACTTCAGCGATTGTGAAATTCAATCAGATACTGTCATATCAGTGATTCCCCCTTACTTGTAGTGATACTGTTGTAGGAGAAGAGGCTGCAGAGTTTGATGTTTGATGGAGTCTCCCATCAGATACATCAAGGTGATCGGAGGTCCAGCAGGCAGAGAGGGGCTGCTACTGGGTCTACTGAGTGGACAGGTCCAGTATATTATACTGATACTGTTGTAGGAGAAGAGGCTGCAGAGTTTGATGTTTGATGGAGTGAAGGTGAGAGAGTGGGTGATGGAGTCTCCCATCAGATACATCAAGGTGATCGGAGGTCCAGCAGGCAGAGAGGGGCTGCTACTGGGTCTACTGAGTGGACAGGTCCAGTATATTATACTGATACTGTTGTAGGAGAAGAGGCTGCAGAGTTTGATGTTTGATGGAGTGAAGGTGAGAGAGTGGGTGATGGAGTCTCCCATCAGATACATCAAGGTGATCGGAGGTCCAGCAGGCAGAGAGGGGCTGCTACTGGGTCTACTGAGTGGACAGGTCCAGTATATATAACAATTACCAAGTGTTTGATTAGGCACGTCATGTTTTATTTGCTACAAGGAGACACCTACAGTCACTGATAATTTGCTATACCAGAAATTAAACCTACCAAGAGCTATGATCTTTACTTTCTATCGTATATCATCCCTCTAATTTTCCTTCACTGACAATAAGAGTGCGATTGCATACAAATTAGCAATGATGAGTGGGATGAGTGTATGGAAAACTTAAAAAAAAATTGTGTAGCCTATAACTTAAAAATAATTCATCTTGGTAAAGGGGTTCTTTATAACAGTTTCAGTGAGTTCTCAAATAAAATGTATTTATGTGATTTCTCAATAGCAGCCACAATGTTTGTCGAGTGTATTTCAATATTGTTATGATACCAAGTTCAAGGCCAGTCTGCTCATGCGGCATTTGCCATGGGCTGAATATTTTACTAAGAGGCAACATGTGTTGGCATTTGCCAAATTGTGAGTAGAGGGTCCCACACATTCTTCACTTTTCGAGCAGTTTTTTCACTGCGGAATAACGAATATTCACACAAAAACTACAAGCACTTTCGTTTACTGAATAATGAGTAGACGAACACCCATCCACACTAGTTGTCATTTTTTATTTGCTCAGTGCTCGATAAATACTGCATGTGGGGACTCGCCTTAATCTGAATGGGAAAAAGTTTTATGTCTGAGAGTTCTAACAGAAAAATGATTGTCTGCACAGGTTCTGAAGATCTTCCTGGACAATGTGTTCCCAGTACCAGTGGTGAGGGCAGGGGCGGGTGTCCGTTGTTTAGACCTATCTACGTCACGGCGCCGTTTAGCACTAGTTGACGAGGCTGGACTCTGCTCAGTTTACGACACTCTCATCCGA